CTTGTGCTCTACCACTTTAGCCATGCACCTGATCCAGAACACCAACTTTTGGACAGGCTCTGGGGATTAAATCAGTGCCACTAGTTACATACACTCTCAGGTAATTGACACATACAGAATGTCAAGCTATACCATACTCGCTCACTTACTCAGAATCTCCTAGAGACATTACTGGAAGACTTATGAGTACTTAAAACTAAGAACCACTGGATGACAATGGCAATTCCCCACAGGGGACAATTCACCCCAGGGGACACTGGATACTGTTTAGAGGCACTTCTGTTTAGAGGCCACAGAGGAGCAGTAACATGTACCTGTCACCAATACATGGTGGGTAGAAGCCAGAGTTATTGCTGAACATCCCAGGGTGCACAAGCCAATTCACAGAAGCACCAGATCAGGGAGCTGAGGCTTTGCCTGGGCAACAGCCAGCATTTCCTCCGTCCCTCCATCTAGGTATGATCCTTTTTTCTTTATTCCTCTTATATTTACCTCATCTCACCTCCCCAATTGTTTTCCAGGGGATCCTATGCCAAGTCTAAGCCTCTGCAGAGAAGGGTAGGCCCCACCACATCACACAGTGATGATATGTGTCAGGAGCCCACACACACCTAATCCATGTTTCCATCTTTCTGAGGCACCAACTATATCCCAAAGAGAATGCACTTTCTTTCTGTTTACACACACGAAGTCATAACAGAGTGTGTGCCTTACACTTATATCTCAATGAGGAGGAAGGCCTAGCTAGCAAGACACCCATCCATACCATGACCCCGCAGGTTCTCCAGATCAGCCCCATCCTCTGCTCCCTCACTGCCACTCAAGGAGCTCTATGGGAAAAGAACAGGCCTGTGGTCATGACAATTACCTCTATGGTACAGCACTCAGTCTCTGATGCCAACCTGCAGAAACCCTTGACAGTAAGTAGTGAGGACTACTACAGTCCAATTCAGGTTCCAGAATCCTCTGACTTTAACAGCTAGGCCATAAAATCCCAGACATTTGCATCAGTTACAGCATTTTAAAGACAAAAGTTACCAACATTTTTATTTTACTAGTCATCAGACAACTTGTCACCTATCACCAGCATCTCTCATGAACGTGTTTTAGCAGGAAAAAGGAATATAAGAAACCTACCCTAAAAAGACAGTCCTTGCTGAGAAGGGCTATGTGCAACATACAACTGTGAGGAACACTAATCTCATCACTTAGCAGGCCAATGCACACAAATCTCATCTATTCCCTTGCTCATCTGCTTTAGAACATACTGAAGAATGGCTCTGGAGCACAGAGGCCAATGTGAACAGGAAAAGAAAATAAAAGCAAAGAGCCAGGAAGAGGCCTGGTACAGCAGTCAGTAAAGTGACACCTAGGACAGACTATGATATCTCTCCCCTCCTCCGGCCCAGGGCAATCAGGTTCATTCAGAACTGAGCCTATGAGCCTCCAGAGTGTAGAATCTTCTGGCCTGAACCTTTTGTGAATGTCCAGTGAGCATTGCCAAGAACTTGAAGTTAAACCAGTGTAGACAAAAAATCACCCCATGGTACACAAATGGCCCACAACTGGTTGAGATTATGAAATAGCTCTGCCTGGATTTCTCCCCATGCAGATGGCCACCTATGTATACAACATAGCCTCCTCATGAAAGAAGGAAGACACACTGGTGCTCCTGCTCTCAGGCTCTCCAACCCAGTCATCAGCATCCATTAGTCTGTGAATAGGAGCACAATGCGAAGGATTCACAAGTATAAGAATACTGACTTACCAGGATGTAAATACTTACTCACCAGAAGAACACTAACTCAACAAGAAGACACTCACCAGGAGAACATTCACTAACCAGGACACACTCTCCCTAGGAGGAGAGCACTCACCAGAACACTCACCAGGAAGATGACATTCACTAGGAGGTGTGCACTCACTCACCAGGAGGATACTCACTCACCTGGAGGAGAACATTCAAGTCACCAGAAGTAAACCATTCACTCATCTGGGGAACAATGACTCATCAGGATGAGGACACTTCATTGCAAGGAGAAGAACACACATACATCAGGATGAGGGCATGCACTCAGGAGTAGGAGACACTCACTGACCAGAAGGAAACACTCACCAGGAAGAGGACAGTCACTTACCAAAAGGAAGGCACTCCTTAGAGAGCACATCACTCACTGGGAGGGCACTCACAAACCACAAAAAGAGCACTCACTCACTAGGAGGAGAGTACTCACTCAGCAGGAGGGCAATCATTTATCAGGAGAGCACTCACCAGGAGGACGACACTCATTCACGAGGAGAGTGCTCACTCACTAGGAAAAGAGCACTCACTATGCAAGAAAACACTCACCATAAGAGCACTCATTCATCAGGAGAGTGCTCACCAGAAGAACACTCATCGACAGGATACTCACCACACAAAAAGCACTCACTGAGCAGAGGAATACTCACTCACCATGTGGAGGATATTCACTCACCAGGAAGAAGGCACTCACTCACCTGGAGGGCACCCAAATCACCAGGAAGTAGACACTCCATCAGGAGGAGAATGTTAGGAAAATGGAGAACGGAAAAGGAATAGACCAGACTCCATTCTTAACAGGATAGGACTGTTTATTGTCAGCAAGGGACACAGACCTTCTCACAGGTATGGAGGTTGTGCCTGGAGTGGGGTTGCAGTCAAGGCTTTTCTGGGGTCTGAGACAGAGGTTGAGTTTAGTATGGGGGGAAGGGGTGACTGTAGGTGCAGGTAGAGAATAGGGTAAGTGTAGTGATACTTGACTCCCTTGTCCAAGAACTCAAGTGTTTTAATGTTCAAATAGGTTTACATTTCTTGTCTAGACAGTTTGACCTCCACAGGGTCCAGTTCTTTGTCTTCCAACCTCTTAACCTTTTCCTAGCCACACAGTTCAGCAACAGAGCCTTACAGGCTAGGCCCACAATGAAATGGTTTACAGGCAGGCTCAGGTCCGATTGCCCTGCCTGCTTCAGACAGTCTGCGATTATCTTGCCTGAGGTCTGTATGCACCTGGGAAAATAGGGTGAGGGTCAGTCCTTCAGAGAACACTGACTAGTCAGCCTGAGGACACTCAGTCACCAGGAGAACCCTCACACACACATCAGGAAGAGGGCACACACTCAGGAGGAGGACACTCACCAGGAAAAGAAAACTCACTCACCAGAAGAACACTCACTCTCCAGGAAGAGGACAGTCACTCACCAGGAAAGAGCACTCCCTCAGCAGGATAAAACGTCAGTCAAGTGGGGCTCAGGGCCCTGGCCACCCATACACTGACAGGATAGTGGTCCTGGCCACGAGCACTCATCTCAGCTGCAGGCTCCATGGCTCAGCACTGCCTTTGCCTCCAGCTTGGATTTCCATTGACTCCACCCCTGTCTACCTGTCTCAAGATTCCTGCTTGCACCATCTAAGACTTCTAAAATAAAATTTTAAAATGCCAGAAATATGTGTGAATGCTTTACTAAGGAAATTTCTTCTAGAGCCTTTGGCTGACCCAGGTCTGGCAGGGGTGGACTTGGAACTAGAGGCTGGACCCTAAGGGGCCAGGCCACCTTCCTGCCAGATTCAGAGCCCTAGGAAAGCTCTGGACAGGCATCCATGAAGCCCTGGGCAAAAGTTAGGGAGGAAGGGGAGGCGGATGGGTTCTCAGGGCAGCCGGGGAAGATGGGCCAGAAACCTGGGAAGAGGAGTGGAGGGGCAGCTGGGATCATAGGGCAACCTGGGTCGAGTGACAGAAGACTGGCCAGGGTCTCCGCACATCTCAGAATGAGGGGCTGGGGGCTGGCCAGGGTCTCAGGGTGGTGGGGGCTGGTGTTGAACAGGTTTCCAGAGGGAAGGGTCAGAGGGCCAGCTGGGGTCTTGAGACATCTCAGGACCCGGGCCAGCTGGGGTCTCCAGACAATCCTGGACAAGGGGAAGAGGGCTGGCCCGAATCTTGGGACTGCCTGCCTACCAGCCAGTAGTGGGGGTGGGGGGGGGAGGGGAGGGGTTCAGGGTAACTTGGGGAAAGGGGTCGAGTGCCAACTGTAGTCTTGGGGCTCAGGCAGATGGATGAGTGTGGGTATCCAGGAAGCCCTAAGGGGCCAGGGCCCTGATGGGGTCTCTAGTCTTGAGACAACACGGGGAGAAGAGGCGATAGCCAGTAGGAATCTCTCGGGGCAGCCCAGGGCTAGAGGCCAGAATCCAAGGGCAACGGGGCTGAGGAGCAGGTGGACAGCCCTAAAGTTCTCGGGCCCGGGGCAAGGGGCCACGACGGGCTGGCCAGTATCTCAAGGCACCTCAGGACAAGGAATCGAGGACAGCCCTGGACAGGGGCTGAAGGTTGGCTGGACGGGTGTCTGGGAGGCCTGGGGTAAGGGGCCGCAGTATAACGCAAGGACTTGGAGCAACTGGGACAAGAGGCCTTGGGCTGGCCGGTCCGGGGATCCCGGGCCATCTTGGAGCCAAGGTTAGGCCGGGTCCTTAGGAAGCCCGTGGCAAGGGACCAAGGGCTGGCCAGGGTCTCGGGCAACCGGACAAGGGGACTAAGCCGGCCAGAATTTAGGGGTTACCTAAAGCAAGGGGCCGAGGACTGAGGCCAGGATCTCCAGACAGTCCGAAGCAAAGAGCCAAGGGCGGAAGGCCGGCCGGGGTGCGGGGCGTTTTGAGACGAGGGGCCAATGGCGTCCGGAATTTCGGAGCAGCCTTGGATGAGTGGCCGGCCAGCCCTGGAAGTCCAAGGCAAGAGCCTGGGATCTGAACCAGTCCTCCAGGCAGCCCAGGGGAGGGGGAGCGGGAATCTGGCGGGTCTCAGGGCGGTCCAGGGGAATGCCCACCTCAGCAGCTCCAAGCTCAGCACGGCCTCGGCCGCCACCGCACGGACTTCCCACGGCCCCGCCCCCGCCCACTTGTCTCGGGGATTGCGCTTGCGCCCTGCGAGGGGGCGGGGGGAGAAACACGCCGGAAATGACTAGTTAAATGCGGAAGCTCAACCAGGAAAGTTTCCAGTAACGGCTGGCGGCTGGTACCTGAACCAAAGACTGCGCCGCCGGGGCCGGGTCTCGCCCCGCCCCCAGCCGAGGAGGGGCGGGACGCAGTGTGGGGCAATCCTGGGCCAAAGGCCGAGGGCGCCGGCCTGGGACAAGCCGCTGGGATCCAGACCTGGTCTTGAGGTAGCCCGAGGCGAGGGGAGGGGGCGGCTGGGCGGGTCTCGGGGCGCCCCCCCACCCCCGTGCGCTCTCGGGATCGCCAAACCAATCACCTCAGCTTCCGGATCCCAGGGCTCAGCCAGTGCTGCTCTCCTTTCCCTTGTCTTCCCTCCAGTCCATCTGGCGATTCACACTTGCCCTCTCTGACCAGAAAAAAAACACGCCAGAAAGAACTGATTACTTGTGGGAACGTTGTACCAAGGAACTTTCCCGTCGTTTTTAGCGGTCTGGCGGGGGCGGAACCAAAGGCTGCCCCTCTGGGGGCCAGCCCCCCTGCCTGCCGGGCGCAGCCTGCTAATGCCACCATTCCACAGCTGGAAGGAATGACAAAGGAAAAGTAAAGCAGGCTGGGGAGGGGCCGTGTCAGCTGGAGCAGGAGGATTAAGGAAGGGGGGTGACAGGATGAATGTGTTTGAAATCGTTTATCTGCCTGTGTGAGAAAAAAGCAATAACCCTGTTGAAATTGTTTTGTGAAGAGAGAAAGGGGGGGAAAGAGGGGGCTGGTATGGTCCATTATTTGCTTGGCTATGCACTGCTGACCTAAGCACCTCCTTCTGCCTCCTCTACCTGGCTTTGCACTGCCTGGAAGTGGCCAGGCTCCCCATGATGGCATCTTCCCCTACAGGAGTGACTATGGACTGTGTCCCGGAACTGCTGCAGGTTCCAGCGAGTTTCAGCTTCCTCTTGCTCGCAGTCATGTCATTGGATCAGACGAACAAGGCCGACATCTTCGACGAAATTTCTGCACCTCCGGCCAACAAGTGCACACCGCAAAGCAGACATCCCAGGCCCCATCCTGGGCTACCTGCTCTGCCGATGACTTTAGGAAGGCCCTGTAAATGAAAGGCATGGGTGTGCGAGGTCTTACTCCATGGGCTATCTGAAACCTAGAGGACCCGATGCTTCTCCTGGGTAGGTCCCTAACCAAGGTGGGCCTAGGCCAGGAGACATTGATCAAGGAGCAAACCTGGGGTGGAGTGAACCTGGGGTCAAGCTACTACTTGCTCCATTTCTTTTTTTTGTTTTTCTATATGTATTTTATTGTGAAAATACCGTACAGAGGGGTTACAATTCTGACACCACAAGTCCTTACCATTCATTGCCTGCTGTGTTTGAAAACTCTTCTGATGAGGTGAGGAGTCAAATGAGATGTTGCCATAAGTGAATATAGAAATGTCTCTAAGAAAATTCCAGTTTCTGGCTAGTTTCTTGAAATTACTTAAGATGATGGGTCAGATGCTCTGTGAAGTGTTTTCTGTATGAAATAAAATCTTTCCATTATCCTTCCTATGAAGTGTTTGCCCCAATTTTATGATAAGGACAAGTTCAGACAGGTCCAGGTTGGAGACCTTATGAGAAACCATTATCTAATAAATGGTTGGATTGGGTTTCAAATTCAAGTATATGATGCTTAAAACTCATGTTCCTGCCCATTCTCACACTTTTCCCTTTTTATTCCCTCTGAATGTTGGGAGAGGGTTTAGGCACCTTTTTTCTACCAAGGGTCATTTGGATTACCATTTCTCATTACCACACAAAATTATCAGTACATGCAGACAACTGCAGGCAGCATATGAGAAGCATACAGGAAGCATACCTGTCTGTCCCATCACATATCAAATGATTTCTAGGGCCTTATACCACCTATGGGGCCAGTATTCCAAAGTATTGTGTTAGATGTGTTTAGCTACTAGAAGAAGGTAGCAATGAGTAGCAAGAACCATTCTTGCTACTCCACTCTAATCTTGGTTTGGAGGTAAGTCTTGGGCAGCCTATTTGACAAGACCAGAAGCAGGTATTGGAAGAAAGAACTTAATTGGTGCTTTCTTTTTTTTTTTTTTTTTTTTTTAGGCTTTGATGGGAAGCATTTTATTGTTGATTCAATCTCACTGTTCATAATTTCTCTGTTTTTTTTTTTTTTTTAATTTTATTTTATTTTATTTGAGAACATACTGTACAGAGGGGTTACAATTACATGGGCAGGATAATGCATACATTTCTTACCAAGCATTGCATCCTCCTCCTTTGTTTACCCTTCACCTCCCTTCCCAGCCTCCCCCCTCCCTCCCACCCAATCATACCCCCCCTCCCCCCCCCCCCCACCGAAATTGTAAAGCTGGTTTTGACATGACATTTTGTACTTCTCATTGTTGCAACAGGTCCACCTGAATCCTTAAACGACTTGTTTGTCCCCGTCTCCTCCACATGTTATACTGACATCAAATATAGTGAAAGCAGGGGTTACACTGTGGGGGAGGGACATACAAAGCAACAAAGAAATAATCTTGTAAATGCATTAGAAACACATGCATGAAAGAAACAAAAACATTAAAATACATATTTGAGGTTTTGTTTTCCTAACATCACATTATCTGACTTTTTCCGCTTGACTCATACCTATACTAGATATTGCAAATAAGGGAAACCATGGGACCTATGTTTCTTTGGGCCTGGCTTACTTCACTTAATATAATTTTTTCCAAGCCTTTCCATTTCCTAACAAATGGGGCAATGTCATTCTTTCTGATGGAGGCATAGAATTCCATTGTGTATATATACCACATCTTCTTGATCCATTCATCTACTGAGGGGCATCTGGGTTGGTTCCATGTCTTAGCTATGGTAAATAATGCTGCAATAAACATAGTTGTGCTGGTAGCTTTAGTGTGGCCTTGTTTGTGATCATTTGGGTAAATGCCCAAAAGTGGGATTGCTGGGTCGTTGGGGAGCTCTATGTGGAGTCTTTTGAGGAACCTCCATACTGCTTTCCAAAGTGGTTGAACAAGTTTACATTCCCACCAACAATGAAGTAAGGTTCCTTTCTGTCCACATCCCCTCCAGCATCTGTTGTTGTTAGAGTTCTTGATTTTTGCTGTTCTAACTGGAGTGAGGTGATATCTCAATGTTGTTTTGATTTGCATTTCTTTTATGGCTAGGGATGTTGAACATTTCTTCATGTGTCTATTGGCCATCCTTCTTTCTTCTTCAGAGAAGCTTCTCTTTAAGTCTTTCGCCCACTTACTTATTGGGCAGTTGTTTCTTTGAGGATTTGTTGTTGGGTGGTTTAATTTTTTGAGTTCCAAGTATATTTTAGTTAATTGGTGCTTTCTATGATGGTTTAATCTTCTCAGTACTATGACATAGGTGGTATGACACCAATTTGATGAGTTATCAGGGGCAGAGAAGCAAAACTCTCACTCAACATAGCTAATGTATAAGAGCAGACCCTGTCAATATCAACATATGCTATTTGAGGAAACTACTGATTACTTATAGACTTGCTTAGGTCTAACTAGGTAAAGGAAGAGCTTTGGAGCATTATTTCTATTTTTTTAGCTTTGTAAGAAGTTTTTGTTTTTCATTATTCATTATCCTACAACATTTAAGGATAATAAAACTGTCTTAAGATTTCTTGGAAACTTACGGCAAATTGTAAAAAGTGCAATTTAAATATACATTCAACCTGAACATTGGTCTTCATTATTTCCCACTCCACTCCCCTAAAATAAGACGTGGCTATAGAATAGTGGCTCCTGGCCCAGGGGGCTTTTAATACGGTGTGTAATTTTGGTTGTTGTGGCAGACAACAGTTGGCAGACACACAGCTCATTGTGTAAGCACAATGAACTATCCATACCAAATAGTTATAGTGCCAAAGAGTTTCTTAACTCCAGTAAAGAGGACTTAGTGCCTCTTTTGAGTAGCCTGTTTCCACTATAATTCTTATAAACAGACTTTGCCACGATATATACTATTTAAAAGATTTAACTTAACAATACCATCACCAAAACTAACAGTTGACCTTAGGTAGCAAAAGTGACCAAATCATAAATATCAACTTAAATAATAGAAATTAAGCGGTTACCCATCCAAAGATCTAACCAACTGCGAACTAAAAATACTTGAAAAACAGTGCATCTATATATACTATGTATAGACATTTCCTGCCACGTCCCTAAATAATACATCACTATTTGTATTAGGTATTACAGATGATTTAAAGTATACACAAGGATGAAGAAATACTATGTAATTTCATAAAAGACATGAACATTCAGATTTTGGTAAGAAGGTCCTGAAAGGATGTCTGTATATTGTTTAATTTCCTTTGAAGCTGCTCTGCCACTTTTATTTTCCTTTGTGATGCTGAGGATTTCATGGCTTCCTGTTGCTTGGCAATCAAGCTACCACTGAGCTACCTCCCCAGTCCTTCTTTGACTGATCTGTTTAGAATATAAGTAGCAAACTAGGTTCCTCTGCCCATTTTTCTGGAATATAATAAAATTTAATGGTATATAAACACCTGGCAAACATGAGTTTTGAAATGTTTTTTTAAGCATAAAGAATGAAGAGCACTAACCTCTTCAATGTATTTGGACAGGTTAAATTAAGTTTTGCTTTCCTTTTACAATAATCTCTCAAAAACGTCTTTTGCAAATATTAGTGCATATATTTTGGTGTACATTATAAAAAATTAAGTCAGTCAGTAGATGTTTGCCATTCAAATTTTGGTTGTAAAGTATCCATGAGTTCTCCAAAAAGGAAACCCAACTTAAATTAACAACAGAAACCCCCAAAGTTTACTGGGTAAGGAAAATCTTCCATCATCATTTAGCTACACATTCACATTCTATGTATTTTCTCATGGTCAACAAACTGGTTCAAGTGATTTAAGTTATCCCACCATTTAAAGAGGAAAGTCTCTACAATAATTTAAATCATGGCGTTATCTTAATTTCACCACTGGCTGCTTTCTTCATAAGTTGTTCTAGTTCTTCCTTTGAAACCTAACAGTAGCTTTTAATGTCATTGGGATCTGGATTCAAAGTTACATTCTTCCTCAAGAACAGGATGTAATCGATTTCATGTTCACCCCAGATACCATCAGATTGTGCCTTGTAGTGAATTTGAGTTAGATAATTAATTTCTTCTGGATGAACCTCTTCTAAGGGAATTCCTAATTCAGCTTTTAGACGCCTCTGGGCTGCTCGTCTCACACCAATGGCATCATTTTCTTCAAGTTTGCCTGGATTACTTAATGGATGACTACAACAACTATTGGTAAAACAACCTGGAAAAGTAATTTTAGCATCTGATCTTTGCTGTAGCAGAAGCTTATTTTCAGAGTTAAATTCAGATGACAATTCTTCTTAGTGTCAGCCCCAATTTTCTTGTCATTTTCATCAATAAGAATACACTTTCTGCCAGGAGCTGAACCTGTTGCTCATCAAGATGGTTGGTATTTATTTCAGGCATTATCGCAAAATGTTTGCAGTGTCCTAGAACACTCAAGTCAAAGACACTCCATTATTTCTATTGAAAATTGCTTTTCCCTGGATTTTGCAACAGACCTACCAGCCAAGTATATATATATATATATTATATATATATACATATATATATATTATATATATATATATATATAATATCACAAAGTGAGAAATCACATGCACATATTCTGAGTGTAGCACTGATGTCTTTAGACATACTCTTCTTTTATGTGTTTGATGATGGGAAAATCTGGACCAAGAGAGATATCAGCTTTCCTCCTATGTAAATGTTTTAGAACTATCTACTAAGGGACAGATTTTTAAAAAAAAATATCATGTGTGTGTGTGTGTGAGAGAGAGAGAGAGAGAGAGAGAGAGAGAATGAAAGAATTTGAGAGCAAAATAGAATAAAATCCCATTGACTAGTAGCATCTGTTTCCCAGATCTTTTGGCCTGTTGGTGTCACTCTTGCAATCTCCATGGTTGTGATCAAGTCTATGTCTCCACTCCTAATCAACGAACTTGCCTCATGATGGGTCTCATTCTCACTTGTTTATTAAATTTGAGGGTATAACCAAGAGAACTCTTCTTATTTTTTAAGTCCATTCATTTCAATGAGAACTATTCAAATCTTCTCAGCAAGTATTCAGTAAATGGTGCTCATGTTTTTCCCATATAACCTTCTGTCTCTTACCCTTCACATCCACCATTCTTTGAGTCTAAGAATAATAACATTTGAAGATTTTTGTATTTTTTTCTTTTAGTCACGTAAATTTATTCTATGTAGAGAATCTACATTATTCTATATATTAACATCAAACTCCCTGTCTTCCAAATTTAGATTATAAAGATATCTGATAACACTTTAATGTTTTTCTGCAATCATGACAAAATCCTGTAGAATTTATACATCAATGAAATAACTGCCTACCTGTATTTAGGTCATTGCATACACTTGCTCTAATTCATCTTGGTGCTGGCCAAATTAAAGACTTCATTATGTTATTGATGCCATTCATT